GGGGAATCAACCCCAACGGGTTCGTACGCGTGGTTTATACCCTGTTCAGAACACACCGAGATAGAAAATTCTGAATATCCTTCCTGTTACCAGTTGATACAGGATACTGCCCTCATGAGTGTTGGGTCTGTATAGGGTTTGGAGAGAGCCAAGGGCGAAGCTTAGCATGCATGTATTTCTCTATATATACGCTGCTTCATAGCTAGGGAATACATGAAATCATTCCATTTTCACGCACCTATCCCTCTATTTTCTTAGGCATCAGAGACAGTTCCCTCGAGAGCTTTCCTTATTTACTCCCTATTACGCCACTAGTAAATGGCAAGGGGTCTCCATTATGTACTCATGAGGTTCTTGTTTTCAAAAACAGATCATGCTTTTGCACCCATGAATATCGGTTAGCAGCAGTACTGTAGGTTACGGCCGCCAAGGTGCAGGTAGACATACTTGAGAGGATTATATAGTATTCTATTGGATTCGAGCCAATGCCAGAAGAGGCTCACATGAGAACCTTTCAGCGTCGGGACCGTAAACCAGCTCCAAGATCCAAGCCCCGAGTGGCCCGCCAACAATGGGTATACAAAGGAGTCACGCACGCAAATAATGAGCCTTCAACTTGAAACACCATTATAAACATTTTACAACCCAAGGCCTAAAAACCTCTGGAACACTGTGACCACTCAGGAGGCCACCTATCCACGCGGAAAAAACCGGCCACCCTGCTGTGGCGAGATTTGACACAAACACAACTCCAAGGTGCCCACAATGCGTGACCTCCTCTAGAATGAAGGGTGAGGTGGGGGGGGTTGACCTAGAAGCATTCAGATGGTTCGGGAGTGCATCACCAACACCGGTTAGTATGTCACCCCACCCAGGGAGCCAATTGCCGGCCCAGCCACTACACCAGAAGTAGCGTCATCAACATGAGCCTACCCGCCGGTCCTACCCCCCTTTGAACATGAATGGAGTACCAACTCGCGTGGCCCCGGATCACGGGAAGAACGCTTCCTGTAAATCCCGCATCCCAGAAAAAAGCCTCAGTCGGAGCTCCAGTGATTTCTAATCATATGAACACCCGCTCAGAGCACCGCTTTATCCCCCGACAAAGCAGGTAGATAGTCGAGTGATTGTGTATGAATCACCATCACCGCACATATTCGGGCCGCATAACTCTATCCATTCACTGCAAACCCACACTCCAATTCCCCCGAAGGGCTGCAGATAGCGAGTTTCAATCGAAAGGCCCGATAGCCGTATTACAGGGAAATAGCACTTTCCCCGGGATTTATAGAGAATCTAGCCGGCTCTGGGACACGCTAGTCGAGATGCCCGTCTGTGGAGATCGATCGTAATTATGTGAGCAAGTGGGCATACTGAGTTTCAGGTTCAGATTTCTAGAGGAGCGCCACGAAGCTCGCGGACCGGTAGCCCAGGCCCCCTCATCACACTCCCAGCTTCAAAAGTCTGTGGTGCGAGCGTTCGTAACCCCCCCCCCCCCCATAAGTGATATACTGCCATTCGGAAGAAAGCCGTTAGAGTAGTACAGCATATGAAGAGAGTTTGACAAAGAAACTGGAATTGGGTCCGCACTATCATTCAAGCAAGCAGGCAAGAACCAGAACCTGCATGTATGTGTGGATGTAGATACGTACGCCTGCAATTGAACAAGGCCACATATAATGCCTAGCCCTGTGACGTGATAGTTTATCTTTTTCCAGGGTCCTGCACGCTTCCGTTAGATTGTTGGTCATCAGTTAACTAGTTTTCGTGGTCATGCTTGTATAAGTTGTGCCGAGATTACAATAAATATATTCTTCCAAGGGGACCAGACTCTTTCTTGACCACCCCTTTATTCATATCGTAGAGTGGGGCGTGGCGGTATGTATGCCTTGTGCATATCCCCCCACACCTGAGGAGGGACCAAATGTAAGGGCATAATTGATGGCCGAAAAGTTTTTGTTATCGAAACTTGGTAATTGCCCTACACTCATCACTTTATCTTCTCGCATGATTAATAAAACAGGTATCCATCTCCGACCCCATGAGAAGAAAGAACGCGCGTAATCTCTCACATTCTTCTTCTCTTCTTCGGCGGCGCTCAATGGGAAATAAGTGTTGGACGCGCGATGAAACAAAATGTGGCAGAGTGATCAAACAAGAAATTGAGGAACGAAATTGTCACCATTTGGGGCGCATGCCAGGAGTAGGGTAGTTGAATACTAGTAGGCACAAAACGGTTTGATGATGACTCGATCACACCCACTCCCACCATGACATAACTGTCGACGGCGCAAAGAGAGAGAGGAGCTACACGAGGGGCATGAGCGTGCCAGAATATACCGGTGTGGTGGTTGAGGGCCATAAACCCCACGAGAAAAGGGTAGATTATGGCAACAAGGTGTTGGACATAAACCCTTGGCCCGATAAGTATCTCTTCCCGTACCAGTTGTGTGGTAATCGGATGTTCGGATACGGTGTATGGATGGTGTTCCACCACACACAAGAGCAACCCGCCGTAAATCCGATCGAATCCCAGCGCCTCCGTAGGACTGTAGCAGGTCTAAACAATGTCCCTAGCCCCCCACGCCCTCATGTTGAAGCATCCTACGGCCAGATAGGGCAAGTTGAGGAGGGTTTTCTTGGTGGAAAGAGTGGCGAGGAAATCACCCGCGACACTATTGAATATGCATTCCTCGGAATTTATCTGCCTTTCAAGGGAATAGTGATATCATACGGGAGTGTCACTTTCAAAACCCGCAGACAACACAGTAGACACATCCCTTGCTGTCCTGCAAAGAATCAATAGGCCCACGATATCAGATCGAATCCCGCCCACCCCAAAATGAGCAATCCCCTTCTTAGTCTTCTCAAATTCTCCAGATCGCGAGGACCGCGGCAGCCTCGTTCCTAGTGTCTGAGCCAATAGAAAAGCACTGTGCCTGTCAATATATCTTCTAGTGATGAAGGACGCTCCACCCCCTGCCTTGACTGGCGAGGCGTAAAGTTGCGGCTATCGGAAGAGGTTTCTTGCTCCTGTCAACTACTGTACTGCTAGCTGGCACACAGAGAGGGGACTTTCCCTGTCCATACACTTATTTTTGTTTTCCCAGCGTTGCACCGGTAGTGTGGTACGGGCTGTGCAGTTTGCCCTACAATTTGTGCTTACGAGGAATTCTGATAGGGGAGATGCAGTCTGTTCCGAGGTCGCGAGGATTGTTGTGCCCTCAGTGCCTAATTGGCCGAGATTTGTTTGTGGTGCCTACTTTCTGTACGGGTACTCGCAGTGTCGGGGTTTCGCTGCTCTGGAACGGGCGGTATCAGTGATGTCGCAAGTAGGGTTCGGGTGATGATGTTACACGCTTCGGAACCTATCACAACGCTACCGAAATAGCTTTATACAATAATATTATCATACTATAAATGTGATATGCAGCACCAACCCGCCGGATCTTCGATGCCTACAGAAGATTTACGATTTCACAATCAGTCCAATCCTACTCTCCCAATTGGCCCCCGCCTCACTAACTTGAAATTGCTGGTGACTTTGCAAAAAGACTCTGGCTGTGAGAATGCAGTGGTTCTTGAGCAACCCGATTGCTAGAATTTGAGAAATCGTCAAGTCCATATTACACGACCGGGGTCTTATTCACGGGATCTCTCTCTCTTTTTCTTTCTTTCTTTTTTCCATTTTTCCCCGCCCTCCCCGCCCTTACTTCCCGCTCTCCAGCGAATTACCGCACAACTCAATCATCCTAACGAGATCTAACTTCCGTTGAGAACGATATTAATGGTAGCGTAATATGATAGCGCGAAGACGAAGGTGGGCTACTCATACATTAGACTTTCTTTTCTTTTTGTCACTCCTTGGAAAATTATCCCTCCTCGACTAGTACATAGCCAGATACCTATGGCGACACTATATGATACCACAAAGTTTGGGCAAAAGCACTGGTAGGGCGTCCCAAATCCCACCTTTCACGGACACGTCAGCCAGGTGAACCATTCCCTCCACTATGGGCTGTTCGGTAAGGCCGATTTCACCAATCCCACAACAAATTTTCTCCGTCTCCCTCAGAATAGACTCAGGCCAATAGCACCCTATCCATTCCATGCCCCATGCTATTCTCTAGACGAGGAGTTCGAGTCTACCTCCGGATATCGGGGTGCTGGCGAAACACACCCAGTATCTAGGCCTGTGTCCAGCCGCCTACTATGGGCTAGTTCTTTACCGAAATGCGCTGTTTATTATCCTACACATATCGTTTGGTAACGGGCCTGATATGATGTTAGCTATACGAGCCTCCAAGGCCCCGTTCTACAGTAAAGTGCTTGGCTAGGTAATGCGACCCGGGTGTTATTTACTGACTGGTGCGCCATCCCCTCAACTGCAGCTGGGACTAAATGGTTTCAATAACATCAATCATTTCAGTATAACCAACCGCAAAATCTCAACACCCTAAAATCCTCCCAAAAACATATGGTGAACAGCTATTCACGTACTCGTACAGGAATTAACGGCCCAAATCTGTATCTCTTCCGATATTATTGACCTCTAGCCATGCCTTGTCTGACTGGCGCCACATATGTCAGGCTAGTCCCCTTTTGATAATATTTAGGTCAGTGAGCTCTCTCTTAAGGCAAAAAGACAAATGGCCAATGAGGTGGAGCTCGCACTGGCTCTCTGGATTATATCTTTCCGATTATATCTACCAGCGAGGCCTACATCCAACATGCTTTGGTAAAGAAACGTCACAGTTTCTAGTGCCAGAATGGGAGGCGCCGCGCACGGTACACATGTCTCAGAACCTGTACCGCGGCTGCTCAGCACAGCGATGCCTTTTCAATTTTTTTTGCGTTACTAAGGACTGCATTAGGCTTGAGATCTAGTCTGAGAGTGCTTGCCCGGTGTCACTGCCTAGTTCGAGGGTTGCGGATTATCCAGCTTTGCGGTGGAGTAGCTGCTCTGTCGATTGAGATATGGTTCGAAAAACGCCAAGATATAGAGCGAAGGAGTGTTTTTCTCCATGGGTGGGGAATCTCCTGTAAAAAAAAAAAATTATCATATTATCTCATGTCATTAGGTTGTAAAATATGAAATTTTAGAGTTTATTCTCGTGCTGTTGTTGAGTTACAGGGATTTGGCAGTGATCGGGGCACACATGGCCAGCAGATGGCCATGGTTGAGGGGATGCAGACAGCCTGATAGGCCGGAATCATATACCGCAAATAGTGCAACAGCCATGGATCATTGAATGAAGATCTTGGCTTTCTATTTTCGATGCCTTCCGTTGGCGAGAGAAGATACCTCCTTGCGACAAAACACGATGGATTTTGATTGAGCTGCTGCTACATGCCTCCCTGGTTTTCCCCATCTTCAAGTGTTCCTCAAGGGTATGGAGTTCGGCCAATCGAGACATACCGGTATACTGCCTTACACTCACCTTGCCTGGGTGCAGCTCGGTTTTCTCCAGTTTCTAAGAACGGCGCACGAAAAATTTGATATAGTGATTCATTGGAATGGCAAATGGGTGGGGCTCAGGTTCTTAGGCCCAGTTTGTTGGTTGTAACCAGTTATCAAGTGCATTATAGTGGATGGCACTATGGGGGCGATTGAGCTCTTGTTGAAATGATAGAGGGTCTCGAGCTCCCAGGTTTCTGATCGGATTGACCCTACAATACGCTGCTTGGTTCTGATGATGGTCGACCTCAGGTATGGGGTCCGACCACCTTTCTAGTTGCAGCACTGGCGTCCTCCTGCAGTTTCCATGCTGTCGTGGGAACCGGAATAATAGAACCTCACGCTAGGCCGTTGGAGTTGCCACTCCTAGTAAGGTCCGTCATATATCTCTTTTCACTTGTCTCAACGGAAGTGCTAAAAGTACTCGTACGCTTTTTTCCAACCGATTCCCTCACCCTACCCAAAGAGGGGAATTACGGACGTCTTGGTTTGTTCATTTCTCCAGTTCTTGCGGCACGGGATGATGGCGGGAGCACAGTGCCATGAAAGAGAGTGTGTGATGGCAAGTACAGCACAGCACAGTACTATACTCACCAAAACCAAGAGTCGCTTCCCGCCCCTTGCCTCTGCACCACGAACAGCACCACCACGCCTCTCATAACCTCCCAACACTACTGGAGACACTTGTTTCTAGTGATATTTGCTCCGTGAGCGATAGCTGTCAACATAACCCTCCTATCGTTAAGGTTACGAGAGGAGGGGAATTGCCGTGTTGCCGCTGGCGGCTATGCCTCGGGGATAGGCACTTTATTCTGGCGAGCAATGTGAGGTAACGCACAATGCTCGAGTACCCGCGGCTAAAAAAAAAAAATCCAACCTCGAGGTTAGGCTCTTGGCGATGCATTACCGGGATCAAGAGATACTCTTAAGTAAAGGACCGGATTCAACAACCGTGCAAATACCGGAATACAGTATGCCTTGCGGTGTGACGCCTCACTCACCTGTGCCACCGTTGCCCATTGAATCTGAACTTCCAGCACGAGCTGCTAGATCTCGAGAGCATGTCGCTGGATTGTTGAGGTACAGTGGAGCATACTGTAAGAGAGAGAACGAAAAAGGAATTCGACGAAGACAGGTTGCTCTCGAGGCGCCATATCAAATTATACAATCACCCTCAGTGTGCTAGTTCCTTCAATTATCAGACAGGTGGGCACCGATAGCCTGCATGCAAGATGAGATGCTGGGGCCGAATGGCAACGGTTCTCGTGGTGTTCTTTCTACCCTTTTATATTTATTTTTTTCCGGCTCTCTCTCTTCTTCCCTCTTTCTTCTCCCCCTGCTCCCCGCACAGGCTCTCCTCTTATTATTATTCGGTTTCTTACATCCTTTCATGCTTTCCCTTCTTACACCTAAGAGCTTACGGTTTGCTATTTAATCTTTCCAGACAGCATCGGTCCCAGGCGAACTCTGCGGTCAATGGGTCGTCTTCATTGTTGCTGGATACTTGCCGTGCCAGTGGTGCCCGGCTCTTTGTTTCCACCTTCAACCACCGGCGAATAAAATTGGCAGTAACCGCGGGAACCGAACCACACAGCCGGTGGCGGCATTTCAAGCTCACACGACCCTTCTTTTTCCGTGCTGGCGGACGGCAATGACGGACCAGTATTATCACAGTGGGAGAGGCTCAGGAAAGATGCCCTACAGCCCTGCTCCTGGTGCTAGCAATCCCGATGCCTCCACTGGACAAGAGGAGCACCGGGAAGCTCACTGTACGCTGGTTGACGAAAGCCACCCTCGCTGCGGGCCTCTCGGCAGCTCATCCTCCGCCCTCTTGTACCTGAACCCAATCCCGAATAATTACGCATCCCGGTCACCACTCGGCTTTTCCACCAAAGGTAAGAACATGGGGAAAATTAAAAGTCACGTCAAACGTTGGCCAAAGTAATGGCATTGCCCGAGACGATGGCAAACAAACGCTCCTAACCTCCACCCTTTCCTAAGAGCAGCTTCATTAATAAATCTCTAGGTTCACTGCCCCCACTTTCATCTGCTGAGATGGAGCCACGGTAAATCCCAAATCCCCTTCCCTATCTCCCACTACCGGCGCTCCCATTTTCTTTGTTGGAATTCCATGGTTTTTCGCGTTTTATTTTTTTATCCCGGTTGTTTGATCAGGCAATCATGTTGTGCTGCACGCAGCAGGGAAAATCGAAAGCAGGGATCTTGTCGAGCTATAAAATCCCCGAGTCACCATACCCTCCCTTTTTCCTGCTGCGCAAACACTTGCTACTTTCATTTGCTCACCAGTTTTCTTGCTTCCCGTGCTATGGCTATGCTCTATCGTTATCTATGCCCATGACGGGACTATTTTCTGCCCCGGTGCTCCACTCCCTGCTTTGTGATTTCAATTATTACACATCCAAAAGTTCTCACTTGCTCGCTCGTTGCTTAGAGGCGAACCGTTTCCCCTCCACGGAGCGGGAGGGAAGGAGGGCGAAATAATAAAGCTGTATCCGCTGCCGGTTTGGGCTGTTGCTTTGTTGACACAAGCGGATTTTTGTTGTAGGACCCCTCTGTCACCTGGCCCCTTCAAGCATTACTACCCTCCGACAAGTGCCCAGGACCGGCACCTCTCGATTGAACAGAACTCCACGTAAGGACCTCACTTCCCCGCCTCCCCCCACTTCAGAACGAATTATCGCGATTGTTATCGTGATTCCCACTACCGCTCCCCTCTCCTGCCCTGAATACCATTTATTCCTATCCCGCTGTCTTTAGACCGAAGGAGCACCCTTTTTTGACCATCTGTTGTCGTTCTAGTGCAATTCCTCGGGAAACGCGCGGGGAACCATCCGACCCTGAGTGGCCAGGTGGAGTACTTGATAACAGGGACCAATTTTGCTCATATAGCGCCGCGAGCCCTCATTATTTCTCGGCGATCGCTTCGTTCGCGGTAAATGGGAGTGCATGGGATCGTTCTTCCTTCATTGAGGACAGCGATCTCAACCGGCAGAACCACCAGCACCAAAACCAGCAACGGTATCTCGATACCTCTATGGATGAGTCTAGCCAGCTGAGTAGAGCTTATGGCCTGCCGAATATCCACGAATCCCCATCGGCAGCAACGCAACAGCAGTCGTTTGGAGCTTATGATGAATCGAGAATACAGGCTGTCTGTTCGCCTTTTTTTTTTTGTCTGACTTCTTCATCCCCCCCGCATCTTTCCAAATAACCCTTTGTTGACTTTCCTGCGTCTGTTTCCATTCTCAAGCCTATCGCCCCAATTTCAAATGGTACGGAGGAAAGTGCTACAAGAAACGCAGGCCGATCAATGAAGCCTTTAGTAGCGCCATTCTACATTTCATCGTCTCATACAGAGACTTTGGGATCGCCGGTTTCTGTTTCCGGCTCGGATCACTCACCCTATGCCCCACAAATTAGGCCAGCCCCTCACGATGGATTTACTCCGAGCCAAGACGTGGGAAAATCAAATAATTCAGTCCAAGAACAAGTAGAGCTGGAGCAATTTAGTAATTTTCCATCGGCTGTCCCACCCTTGACCTCTTACAGTTCGACACAACCCATTCGAGAGGACGATCGTCAGATGTGGCCCGCCCATAGGACGCAGGGCATCCGGTGGGCAAAGAGTGAGCATGCCTCCCCGATAGAAGACCCAGAAACTCCAAATCCCAAGCTCAGGAGATCTTCCTTAAAGACTTGCGAACTCGGGGAAACAGGGCTTGGGTTTCCGGGTTGCTATGTACTTGTCCCCACTGCCGACAGCCCCCCAGATTCGGAGTCTCAATCAGGAGACGGACCAGAGCCTAGTTTAGTGTCAGCGAAGAAGAGCGTACGAAGACCGATGGAGGAAGCGGAACGGGCAGCGATAAAGCTAAATAGAAAGTTGGGGGTTTGCCTCCGCTGCAAAATATTCAAGGAAAGGGTACTGTACTGATCTCATAAACACTTCCCGAAATCGAATTTCTGCTTAACATATCCGTCACTCCACTGTAGTGCCGCGGAGGGTTCCCTTGTGACCGTTGCCGATCCCTGAGGCATTGGAAAAATATCTGTGTTTCGGCGCACTTTTCTCACAGATCGGTGTTCTCTCGGGGTATGACTGAAATACTTTTTTTTCCCCACCCTCTAACCCTTTGTGGACCACCTCAAGTATGCTAATATATCTGGTTAGGGCTCTGGAAAGCTCGTCTAGTTCCTTCGCTACGCAATGTTGCTGAATGGATCACATTAGATTCCGCTCCCATAGAGTGCATTCATGTCAGCAATGGCTATACACCGTTCATTACCGTAGCAGTCCAGCGATTCAAACCCGTCGACCCCACGCTTTTGGATCACGTGCTTTGGAGGGAGCTTCGGAAAACCGATTTCGCCCGGATACCTTCAACGGCAATCGCAGTGTCATCAGATATTCCTTCCGATAAGTTGGATGCGTATTTTGGTGATCACGTACTCCCTCTCGTAACCGAAATTCAGGTGCTGGCTGGCTCGCAAGTGCATGAACAAACGTTTGCACAAACGCTGCGGGCCGCCTATGACTATTCTTTAGCCAACCCGGAAAATGTAAGGAGATTTAGGATTCACTCTAGAGGCGGCGATATTCTAATACAGCTCCAATAGGGTTATATTGTCAGGAAAGCGTTGCGGCTCTGGGCTGCGCAAATAATCTACTTCAAGGGGGTATGGCGGATCAGTGGACAAAACAAAGTGGGAATGTTCCCAATCCAAGATCCCAAATCGAAGATTTGCGGCATTACCCCTCTGCCTAGACTTGCCAACCAGCAATTGGATGCTAGGGTAGAAGAATGGATGGCTCAAACGGAACAAGAACTCCTCACAGAACTCCAGACCAAGATTTTCAAGCGCAATTCCACAGATTGGTTTACAATATATCTCACCTTGTTTATCACTCTCAGCACGCTCGAGACAGATACGTGGAGTCTAAAGACATGGGCTGCGGATTCGAAAAACTTGCTGGATAGAATTGAAACAATGGTAAGTGGATATTTCCCTGATTGTCTTGGCGAGGAACCCCAGAACTTTTTGCAGCTGTGGTAGTTGAAATGTTAATCTCTCGACACGACTAATTCATAGGATCTACGCAACCCGGGGGAGGCTCGGAAAGCCTGGTTATGGCCACTCGCAGAGAGTCCTGAAACCCTAGCAGAACGCAACACCTTTCTTACCGAGACCCTTGTCGCCCACTTCAGGTCTGTGACTAAAGGATTTGCCCCGTTTACGTTGGACTGGTACAGCGATCAGGCTGTTGTAATGGCAGGCGGAGAGCAACATGCGCTCGAATACATGAGGACCATAGGTCAGCAGGTGAAGGTGTCTGGTAAGCGATACCCCACCGCCGCTTTCTCTTAAACCCTCTAACTGTTTTTGTAGACCGACAATTGCGAGAGAGAATAGTAGCAGAGTATAACAGGGAAGACATTAACAGTCTTAAATTCTCGTACTCTTCGAAATTAATGGTGGGTGAGGACTCGTGAACTACTCATACCCATGACTATAGTTTCTACTGGTCGAATTATCGTTGTCCACTTATTTTTTTTTATCTGGGGGGGGGTTCTTTTTGTCCGGGCATTTTATTTTCGAAAATTTTCAGATAAATGGAGCCATTACGTTTTCGCGCAGGAATGGGATCTTTATTCGTTCCACAGTCGTGAGAAAGAATGCTAGTTCTACACATCTAGTACGAGACTATAAGTAGTTGAATCCGCACGATGGTCTCACATGCTATCCCGCACTGTCTCCAACCAAAATTGCTAGCGATGAGTTGCGAAGGCCAAGGAACAACTCCAAGTCCTGGTACAAGCGGTACCAGTATCATGCGTAACTCATTCCACCGAACCCGCCAATACAACCCCAACCCCGCACTACCCCTGCATACACGACCCGCAGAATCACCCAGCCGATGTCCCCGATTACCCCCCCCCCCTAACCTTCTCTCTCTCTCTCCCCTTTCATTATTCCCCCTCTTTCCCGCTCAGCCGCACGCGGCAATCATTAATCCTTCATCCAACCCCACTAATCACAGTCAAGAAATCAAGACATCAAGAACTCCCGCAGCACGGGCTGTCTCCGGGGTATCCCAGCATAGCATGGGAGAAATGCCAGCTTATCTGTGCGCTGTTTGGCGGGTGGAGTGGAATAATCGTCGGCCCCGTGTGGCAAGACGCGACCGGGCGGGGGATCGAGAAAAGACGAAGAGCTTGGGGAAACTTTTTTTTTGCCCTTTTTTAATTTTTGCCTTTTTTCCTTAGGACTAGAGGTTGTTTTTCTCAAAAAGTCGCTACTGCAGAAGATATAACTTATACCGGTGGAGGAGAATCCAAGAAACGAATCGTGAAGCCGATGGGGTAAAGATCCGATTACCGGTTGTCCATCCACAATTATTATTATTATTATAGTCTAGATATAGTACAGTAGCCTCCGCACTACTTGCGTTTCCAAAAGCCTGGCTACTCGCCGCATGCCCGCTTGCGTGCAAGAATATGTCAAACCCAACCCGTGATTTGAGAACCACGGCGAGGAGCATTTGGGGAAATGAACCCTGCCGCTCTTGCATGATGCGGCCGTTTCTCTTGAGAGGATATATTGAAACATGGCAGATGGACCAGTGCTGTCTACAGCACAGCTGCACCCCACCCCAACCCCCGATGGCCGTCCTCCAGAATCTATCCAGCGTAGTACACAACGGCACAGAGGGTGGCCCGGAGCGGTTAAGGCTTGCTTCGCAAATTCAATCGGGTTTACCCATTATCACAGCCAACTACCGGCGAGGGAGCACCGCCGATCCGTCGTGCGGCCCCAAAGACATTAGCCATGCCCAAAAGTATGATATCATACAATACGCCAACTCCTGTACTGCGGTACAGCACAAGCACCCGTCGAAAGCGCCGGTACAGTACCACTCGCGCATCCACAAAACTCAGCACTGAATGGCCCTCCGTGGAGGACTCGGCACAGGCGCGTTCCCACGAACGTCAATACCGGCTGGAAGGTTTCCGAGGCTTGCCCACCGTGAATTCCTTTCGATTCTTTCTTCGAGGTGGGTCAGGGCGCCCTTCCCCGAGCACTCGTATCATACGGTGCCGTGCCAGCACAGTATGATACGATACCGCAGGTATCATACCTGCAGCGACGGAAACCCTATACCGTATATGTCATACGTAGGTGCACTACCGGCACTGCCCCACGCGGGACCGGGGCAACCAAAGGCTGACTTCCACCCAAAGTTCTGTATGTCCGGTTATTTTTTTTTTTTTTTTTTAAGAACTATTAACATCAGAGGAGAAAGAAAAAGAAAAAAATCCCCCCTAGAAAAAACAATTCCGCTAGTAATTTTATAAATAACCCCTCTTAAAAGCATCCAACGATTGCTCTCTTGTTTTTTGCTTTATCAATGCATTCAAAATCAGTGGCCGGAACCATATATCAATCCTAATCCATTATTTAAGCAACTCTACCAGAGGAATTTGCAGTGTACAAATATCCCCCCAATGAGAGGTCATCCACACCCCGGAAATTTCGGATCGAGTTGGCCGCGAGGGCAGGTTCTGGTCGACCGGAAGTACTCCAAGCGCACAAGTGAGAGTCCACGACGGAGCTAACGCCCTCCGAATGAGATTCCGCCAGTGCCCGTTCGGCACCTCCGTCGTATTCCCTTCCCCCTTTCGGGGGGAAATGGTGCATCACCGGTATCGCGAAGCGAAAGATGGTGACATAGCATACCGGTAGTTCTGCAGCGGTTGTTTCTGCCCTAGTCACGTGCAGCGGAAATGGCAGAAGGTATGATACATGGTTCGTGTGGTATGGAAAAGATCGAGCTGTGATACTTGTACTCGAGTACATATCTCCATGTCCCGCCACATCACTCGTGACTTTGTTTGCTCTGCTCCACAACCTGCAGGCTTTCCGTGGTTTCCTGCCTTTGTGCGTGGTTGATTGCGGGAGCACTTGGTATCGGACCATCATGTCAACCTTTTTTCCGTAAGTCAGATTGATTCGTGGTTCGGGTGATGTGTTTTTGGAAATATGATCGCATTTTCTTTTTTTTTTTTAAAAAAAAAAAAGAGACTACTGTATGCCAAGGATTTTCATACATTTCGGATATCATAGCCATGGGTATAATAGTATCAGACCGGTACTGTACAATAGCGATACCACGTGCCCACACCGTAGGAAGGCCCAACGGGAACCAAGTGCCAATCATGACCCGGAAGTCACGAGCACCAAGTTTAGGATCCTAGCATCATATCATACGAGTTTGTTCGCCGCGAGCTCGGGAAACGAGGGCGAAGGGCTCAGGAAGGGCTAAGCCCGCAGCGCCCTATCAAGTTCGGGTTTAGCCTTCGGGCTCAATGAAAGGAGGGAGAAAAAAAGAAAGAAAAGAAGTGTAGACGAGGTGCAAGTATCAAACCGTGGAGGATCAACACGCACAACACGCCCATCCCAGATCGACAAATCCAAACCATCCTCGCCGGTTCGGACTAAGTGGGGGTAACAGCATGGGATTCTCGATTCCTCGGGTTTTCACCCCACCCTTCGTGCGAAGTGGTCATGGAAAGCTAGCCAGCCAAATTGCTGATTGGCACCTGAGGGACCGACCGATCGATTCGGGGGGGCTTTGCTCGAACTGCGCGAATAGGGTATGATGGGGAGCCAATGAATGCTGTATAGGCGTGCCTTTCATGTCGTGTCATCTACCGATTCCGTGTTGATCATGACGCTTTTGGAGGGAAGGAGAGGGGGTTTGTCGGGATTTTTTTTCTTTTCTTCTCCCTCTTCTCGTCCTCTCTCCTCTTTGCTGCTTGGTAGGGGTTTTCTCCATCCATAATGCGGGGATGAAGGGTGCTACTGTACCTTTGAGGCGCGGGTGGGGGGTTATAGTACAAAGGTTATTGGGGTTAGCCTATGCTCCCCTGTTGATCCCACCATCGTCGCTAAGGTTCCGGTGGTCGATCCTGCGGTGATCTCGCTCAGTGCTGGGGTGGTGATCTTGGTTAAAGGTGCAGTGGGTCGGGTTGTACTTGTAAAAACGAAGGTTGTGCGGTTACATGGCCACAGTACGGTACGAGTAGAGTGAGAGCGACAGTCTTATCAAGCTTTCCCCCTGTCCCCCACGGGTGAAGAGAGTACTGGCCGGTATCATACCGGGACAGGATCCGTTACACACCAGAAGAGGGAATTTTCACACATTGCTGTCAACGGTAGTCTACCGTTGGCGCGAGAGTAAATTTAATTTCCTACGCCGGTTCTGTTGTTTCCCCCTTCCCTCTCTCTAAAGCTGGGAATGTAGATATTGTTCCTGTTCTGCCACTCACTTCAGGTAGTATTTCGACTCGAAAACCGTCCTCATACCGAAAAATGGGAGTTACAGGGCCATGTTGTTAGGAAGCCCTCATTTCCAGTTATAGATGGGGACCCGCCCGACGAAAAAACTCCCAAGCACTGTGTGGGCAATTTTCAGAGATGGTTGGAGCTGTATGGGCAATGTTTTGAATTTAAATATCTTTGGGCCACTGGTTATTATGCCGGATGGCCCTGTTTTCTCGGTGGGAGATGGCGTTAGCCCACAATCTTTTCTTCGCCCGCGCAGTCGGTATTCGGGAATATCTAGGGTACTGTCCACCGAGCAGTGGTTTGATGTCAAAGTTGCCTGTGATCGCGGTGCCATAGGAAGGCCATCACAACAGCCTCAACTCTGGATCAAGTATTCGTTGTGCATATTGCCCAAACTCCCATTCCCGCCTTTTTCGCTATCATACCATGCCCAACTCGTAAGACAATTACCTGCCAGGAAGGGGCGAGCAAGTAAAGTTAGCCCTACGCACATACCCGGTCCACCTGTCTGTCCAGCACTTTCCCACCCTCGCACACACCTTCTCACCCACTCACTCGCCCTCTCCTCCCTCTCACCCCTCATCACCACCACTCTCCGCACCACAATCCACCAAGCAGGTCTAAACAGAGTTCGGAACGACCGCTTTGGCCGCTAGCTCGTCCTTCCGCACGCATAGCCTTTTGTCACTGCACTTTCACTCACCCACCGGGCACTTTACCAACCTCTTTCTGTTCCCCCTCTTTTCAAAAACCCTCTCTGTTCGTCCTTCCTACTGAATCGAATGTTCAGCCAAGAGCGTGACCAGCCGTCTTTTTCTTTTCCCTTAAAAAACAAATTTAGCCCCATCTCTCTTCCTTTCTACATAGGGAGGCGGGAGACAAATTTGGCCCTCTTTTCAGAGCTGTCGGGTTCGTGCGCAGGTAGGTAGTTGTCGGCCAAGATCCCATCGGGATGTAGACTTCTGTGCCCCCCCCCCCCTCTCTCACCCGCCCCTCACTCCGGCCAGCATGCCAATTTCGGGAGACATTTTACCATCAGGTGATTTTTTTTCTTCTTCTCTTTTTGCTCGTCTCCTAGTTTCTCCTGAGGGGTTCGTGGATGATGACAGTAAATTAAGTCCGGCTTCCCTACTACAGAGGGAGAGAATGACATATTTCTATATTTTGTCAGGGGATGGATAGCTAAGTGTAAAAAAGGAGGGGAATGGGAAGGGGGGGGGGATGCAAACTTGTTTGAACCTCGTTAGTGGCCGCGCCTGCGCAGCCCGAGGGGCGGTGGTTCGAGAGGCCTTTGGTTCAAGTCCTACTGGCAGGTAGGCTTCCTCCCGGCCCGGGTGGGAATTATCACGTATTACCGTTTAGCGCTTCTGGGGTTATATAAACTCCCCAATGGTTGATCGATGGTGGATGGAAGGAGGAAAGGAAGGTGAGGAAGATCAGGAATCCATATATCTGCTCTACATCTTCACCTGATAGAGAGGGGGGACGGCAGATTCCTATTACCCCATTTTCCTTGCTCCAATTGGCCTCCTATCTGAATTTCTCGATTTCTACTCTATTGCTACTGCTCCCTCCTCATCCCTCTTTCACTTCTCTAAAACAACAATGGTCGCCTCCGTCTACGTTCCCCATCCATACCACCCCGAAGTGTTTGCCCAATTACACCACATAGATGAAGCTTATAGGAGCCTCGAAGAGAGGGTCGTAGACAAAGAGATGTTAGGGGAAGTCAGGTCTGTATACGAGCCAATGCCCTGTCTCCCAAAAAAAAAATACCCTCCTTCCTTGTTCACACGTTCGAGACGGCCATGCCCTAACTGAAAAAACAAATCCCCGAATCAACTTAAAGATCCCTTTTCATCCGCTATGGCGTTCACAGGACCCTCGGGGTCATGGTCCTGCATAGACACTTTGACATGACACCAGAGGAGAAGCTAGTGGAGTTCGGGAGCGTAGCCACCCCCTGGCTACTCCCGGAGGCCAACGGGGACTCGGTATTCGGTGGCAAAGTGATCCCCAGATCGTGGGCCTACTCCGCTGGCCATCTTTACCCCATTGAGTTCGGATTCAATCCACCCGGCGTGGAGAATTTCCCGAGCATCTCGTTCGATCAGGATTTCGTGAGGGAGCTCTACGAGTTGCTGGTTGGGCTGGGGATTGGGGACTTGGTGGGCTTGACCGTGCTTGGCGATGAGATCCACGACGCCCCCTACGGCGTCGAGAAGACCGTTGGTAGGGTTAGCATCACACTACCCATCACCCCTGAAACGGAACCCACCCAAGCTGTGGAATCCGTGTGGACTTTTGGGTGCCATGAGAGGATGGATGATTCAAAGTTGTGGCCTGCTCGTATCTGTTGGGTTTGTCATGGTTGTAAGTGACGCGGTTAGTTTGCGAGAGGCTATGAAGGTGTGCTGGGGAGCGGTAAGAGAGATCTTTGCCCACTCGCACGTGCATATATTGATGCTGAGGAAGCAGGCGACTATCGGGCCCATGACACACTAGAAGGCGTATTTTCCTAAATCCCCTACATATTTGGTAGTTTTTTTTTTTTCAGTCGAATATTTTTTTGAATTCATTTTATTATGTGCTGGCAATTCTCCAAAAAAAAAAAATCTTTAAGGTAGAGGTCCCTACCCGTTTCTGTATTTGAGGCAATAGCATTCTATCAATTTGTACCCTATCAATGTTCTTCCCCAACCCAAGATTGAGGGACAAGACGTGCAGGTACCGGGCTTCCAGCCGCCATCCACCAAACTGGGAGCGCGGCAATGGCGTACAACACCTGAAAGCAGTGTACACTGTTAAACTAGCTTGGAGGAATGTATGCGCACACAAAGGCCCACTCACTACACACATAAACCATGGAAGCCCAACTGCTGGACCACCGAGTCGGAACCCCACAGCAAGACCTAGTGCTAGTAAGGGCTGGCCGACTAGGGTGCCTGCAGTTTCAGCGATAGATATGGCCGAGTAGAGCCGAGCAACTTGGTCTTTGCGTACAGTGGAAGTAACAATAGATTGCACCACAGTCCCAAACCCAAACCCCAAAGACATGATGAAGAGTGCTAACAATGTGAGTTAATAATACGATAGAATGCGTGAGCCGTCATCATACCAATCATCAGTAATGGTACATTGGCAGCTAGGCCGATAAACAGACACCCTAAAGTTAGTAAGCTGATGCTTATCTTTGCCACTAATATGTTGGCGTTTTGAGTAGATAAGCCCCAGGACGTCGTCAGGGTATGTGTAAGACATGGTAGGATGACCAGAAACAGGATAGCGCTGGAAAGGGCCTTTAATGAAATCAGGTATCCAGCCTGGTCAATGGGTTAGCATTTACTGGTTTGAGACCGGAATTCAACCTTCCTGAGAAAGCGACCAGCTGTATCTCTTCGATACGTACTGCAGCAGCACACTCAATGAACCACGACAGATGTTTGAAAAAAAGAAAGTGGCGAGCGAAAGTGGAATGATGGGTCCATGCGACGCCAGATTAAGAAATTGAGCACGACTCGGAAGCTCGGGGTATGAGGACGGGGTCTCAAGCGCATCAGTGATTGTTTCCTGTTCAGTATGCCCCGGTGCGATAGTAGGTGCGAAGGGGCTAGAGGATAAGCAGCCAAGCAAGGGATCCTGTTCGGTTGATAAAGGTGCGGGATTCCCGGAAGCAGCAGCAGTTTCCGGGATGACAAGCACTACCCCTACGAGAATAACCATTGCAGAAAGCCCTACATAAAATGGTGTCCACAACCCAATGCCCAAAAACAGGGAGCCGATAGCCGGAGATATTAGTTGAACAACTTGCACAACAGATTGAACGACGTAGAATTGGCGAGTCCTAGAGGCGTACAAATAGTCTCGTTAGAGGTGATCGGGCATAAACCACAGGGGCTCTCTAACCTTCGTTTTTCAGTTGTAACATCAGCAATCATGGCTAGGATGAAGGCGGAAAACATGTGAGGACCTCCACCGATAGCGTAGAATAGTGAGGAGGTAACCAATAGTCTAGGCGGGAAAAGGTTGTAGAATACACCTTTTCCCGAGAACGGATTGCGTGAGCAAGATCCTGGATACTGGGTGGCAGGCACAACTGACAAACGATAACGACCCACAGGTAATAACATAATCCCCCCACAGCATTAAGTGTCAGACCAAATCTTCTGCCTCTTTGATCGGCCGCAATCCCTAGTGGCACAGATACCAGCAACTCTATCGCTCAGCGTTAATTTGCCCGTTTGAATATGAGAATCCGACACCAGAAGATTTGAAGAAAGTGGTCTGACGCTTACCGATAAGTGCGCTTAGAAGGCCAGCAACCCCAAGTATCAAGGCCATCTCCACCTGGATATCATCCACTTTGCAGTGAATTTCTTCAACATAGCCATCTTTATCAACAAGGCCGGGGTTGTGGGTGTTGAAATATTGGCGGCATACTGCCAGCTCGATCAGACGGGTAATAGGCGCTCCCACGAGTATATCACACCCAAACCCCTTCAAAAGGACGGCAAAGCCACAGAGCCACGGAACGAGCCACGCGATGTCCGTTGGTGAATAATCGAAAGAAAAGAAACCCCGGACCCTCCCCAAAGGATTATTTGAATCGCGCGGTAAAAAATTTCCGTTGTGCGCCAGAGTGCTGGTTGGTGCAGTTTGCGAGTTGGACTCCATCTTGTCCAGCTAGGTCGGGAAAACACAAACAATCTTATCTACATTGTTGGGGTGCGATCCAGACTCCGTTGTCATTACCGGCGAAACCCCCCCTCGCCGTATTCAGGATACGTGCATCACAGCATCAACCTCCATCCCACCCACAAGGATACATCACGAATTAGACCCTGAAAAACGAAGGCCTGGACAGTCGAGACTATCACATCCTACCAATGAACTTTACGCATGATACGCAGTTTACCCCTCACTTCTAGCAGTCCGTACTGGTGTCGCGAGAACTGGCAAGTCTTCCCAGCCCCATCGGCCAAGATCCATCTGTGGTACCTATCCCCTGTGCGGGTGCTCGCAGCGCGAGAACCTCGAGGTGCCGAAACGGACCCTGCCCGCTCATTGTCCACGGGACTCAAAATAACGCAGGCCAGAGGTACTATAGAATTTTAAGCATAATAACGCAAGTATCCACAACCCAACCCCGTATGACAGGAGTGGTTTACAACTCCAAGAAGCAAACTTAGCTTGACCACATGGAAGATTGTTTGCCACCATCATGCACCATGGCCCCCCAGGTTCAGCACAGATCATGGCAGGAGGGTAGATGCCGCTCCCGGAGATGGTGATTCACACAGGATTCTCATTTTCAGGCTTTCTCCCCCACCGATCTAGCGGTTGGGGCCATCGCAAAATGAGCCCGCACTTAATTCTCCGAAAAAGGGGACAGCGGGCAGTATCTGATAAGTACCCCGAATTCTGGAAATTTTGGCCAAATATCAGATCTATGAGCCCAGAGAGGTGATATCTATGAGGAGGTTACATCCGAAACCTTCGGTGTCGTGTTGAGATTTCTTCGTCAGTACGGTAGGTGAGCTATGGTTGTGCACGATACCGGTAAGCCACAATGTACGGCCACATTTCGAGTGATAGCTTATGCCCGGCTCCACACCTGCCTAGTCTCCAGTTCCCCACACCCCCGGCCAGGTTCTGCCTCCTGAAGGAGAATCATCCTGTCACCTGTAGTGCATATCTTTTAGTAAATGGGGTAGATTACTCGACGGAAAAAAGCAATATCGAGAGAACTAAAGACATTATCCTGTCCTAAGGGGGCTGTAAGTTATGGACATAACTTAGGGTATTTGCTTCAGAGTTCCCGCTTTGCTAAATCGGAATGTGGTACTATATGGGTTGGCTCCTATTCTACTAATTTGATGGGAGCATTATCCTTCTGCCCATGATACTCCGTGTTGGGCACCAACAGCGAGGTATCCCCCGAAAGCAAAAATGCTCTCATTTAAACTCGCCCCCGTTGGTAACCAATCTTTTCCTCAAGCCCGCTTCCCCTGAGCAACCCATTTTTTGCTTTTAGCTCATACATTTAAGGGAAATGAGGGTAACGCAACCCCCTACGGCCCCTAGCTGGACCCGTGGCTCCTCGTGAGGCTCCAGCCGTGCATCTCATTCGGGCTTCCTCGGCCCGGAGCCCAGCAGACGCTCCACCGAAGAGAAGGGATATATGGCACTATAAAGGATATTCGGGATTGGCTTTCACCCCCCCTCAATTCCCCGCAAATTCTTCTTCTCCCCGTTGGCGACGATAACCCGAACTCTGTGGTAAGTAGGCCCTAGCTTCCTCCCTGTCCCCAAACACCATTAGGACACCTCGGCTTCCCCCCCAGAAACGCCAGCAACAAACCCTGCACCAAAATGAAGGCCACAGTTCCAATTACGGGAATGAAATTGACCGACAGCCAAATCAAGTAGCCAACTAGGCTCTTGACAGTCAACTTCTCAAAGGGTTTTTTCGCCATCTTCAGCCTCCCCATAGCTCTGATCCCGTCCAACCCCCCGCCATTCTTCACAAGCTCAGTCATACGCTCCAGCAGCAATGCCGCATCGAAAATATCCACCAATGCCTCACCCATCGGCAAGGTTCTGCCGAGTGTAGTGATGATCGCCGCAGACTCACTCAGTACAAGAGCCATTGTGGAAATCCAGGCAATGGGCCCATAGACGAACGTCAGTAGGAACAACTGTTCGGACATAAGTGAAAAGAAACATGGACGTGATAATCCAGGTGCTAAGAGTCAACAATAGGAGGAGACGGGAGGTCAGGGGGTTTCCAGAGGGCACGGTGTATAATGAAGTACGCAATCCCGGGCGGAGGGTACAGATAGGCCCCTATGGCGGCTGATTCTCTCAAAAGTGCGGTGACCCCTGTTGATTCGTCCTGGACAAGGTCTTTGACGGTATTCCATAAAGGTATTTTCGGATCTTCCCTTCCTTTTAGGTAGTATCGGTGATTGGTACTGCGCTACTACAACCTGAGGGTGGTGCGAGGCCCACTCCACCTTGGCGTTATGGCGAAGGGGGGAGCCACGTCACATATTGTTTATCGGGATTGCGCTCTCCAATCCCCCAGCTGGATTTCGGCCAAATGATTTTCCACGAGCCGGATGTGGTGTCATTGCGCCCAAATGTGCTAGGGTTAGGGAAACTTTTAAGTCCGGAAGGGCCTGGGGCCCCCGGACTCACGGGGAGCCACGAGTTAAGTTAGAGGGCATCCTCCCCAGGGAAAGCAAGCTGGCCGCCCGTACGAGTACGAGTACGGCAGTGCCAACTAAGTTTACGGAACAACGTGTAAACCACCAGCAGATGAAACGGTCGAGCCAGGAATACCAACCACGGGCGACCGGATATGAGAACGCTGCAGAACAGTACTGGTACAAGAGAAACAAAACATGAGTGAGATCATCTGGTTCCACCTTAAACCACTCGTAGAATCCGACAAAAGAGGAGAAATGAGAATCAAAGGGAGAGAGCACAAGCCGAATCGCTAACAACGACTACAACTAGTTGACAGCTCTAAAAAAAAAAGTCAATACTGGTACTATATTATACTCCCCGAAATGTCACAATCACAGGATGTCACTCATCGCGGTAGTTCAGGGTTACTAGTGGGGGGGGGAGGGCCAACCATGCGGCCCCACCCGATTCTTGAAGGAGAATCAAAGCACGAAAGGCTCTATTATCAAAAAGCAAAGAAAAAAGGAAAAAGAAAAAAAAACCGCTAGGCCGAATTACACTTCGTATCATTATCACGAAATCCCACCCGAAAGAAAAAAAACATGTCACGCCCGACCGTCACCATCACCAAGGGGCTGTCCCACCGTAGCCTTTGTGTATCATACCGCAAGCCAGGGCCCGGCGCGAGGGAGTGAGGGAGTGAGAATGCGTGATGACGCGTGAGTGACGAATGCATCATACGGAAGCTGGGTCCAGTATGGTGCTTTGGGGTCTTGGGGTTGGGGTGGATGGGTGCTCTACTCTGGCGGTACATGTGGTTGGAGTCTGACATAGTTGTAGGAATACAGGTGCTGTAGTCTATGATGAAATCCCATGGCTATTGAGGGTGCATCCAGCGGGCCAGGTGTTTGAGCACGGTCATTGACAGCTTTAACCAGCGCAACAACTCTCTTACTGCAGCACAAGCAATCATCTCTCGAAAATCCCGATATAAAAATTTCAATTACCGGACCAGTACTAACCCACCCAGGATCAAAAGAGGGTACACAGAGGGGAAACCCCCAGAAAGCAATATAATACAATACTCCCCCACCCACCCACCCACCCCCTAAAAGCTCCCACTACTCTATCTCCTGGAAAATTTCATCACAGGCCCTTCCTTCCGACTCGTGAAGTGATCCATAAGCCTATACTCCCCGTCAACCATTGCATACCCTTCCTTCCAAAGCGCGGCCTTCCCTTCAGTCTCCACCTCCTCGCAATCGTACTCAAACAGCAATCTAGCGAGGGTAAGTCTAAGCTCCATGTACGCCACGCTCTTGCCAATGCACCCTCTCGGGCCAATGGAGAAAGGTGTGAAAGCGGACCGTGCAGCTTCGACTTCTTCCTGGGAGGTGAAAGCGGGTAGCCAGCGCTCCGGCTTGAATGAGAATGGATCAGGGAAGTAGGCGGGGTTATGGTGGAGGGCGTAGATTGGGGTTCCTGCTACGGTCTTTTGTTTTTTTTTCAGTTAGTTTTCTTGTTTTAGGATGAGGTGGGGGGGGGGGAAGGAGGGGACATACTCCTTCTGGAATGTAAACCCCGTCGATTTCTATCCCTTCCTTGGCGATGACCTCGCGGGGGAGGAGGCCTGGAACTGGGGGTGCTAGGCGCATGGCTTCGTCGATACAGGCTCTTAGGTAGTGGCAGTCGCCGAGTTCTTTTCCGCCAACAATTTGCTCCTTTTTGGTGAACGTACCGCGTATTTCCTTCTTTAGGGTCTCGAGTACTCGCGGATTGCGGCAGAGGTAGAACATTGCTGCGGACATGGCAGTCGCGGTTGTGTCGGAGCCTGGATATAGCGTTAATACCGGTACGAGTATATTGATGGTAGGGCAGGGGGGGGGGGGGGGCAACCGGCAATCATAAGAACATTAGCTTCACCCCACAATTCCTTAGTTCCGAAGCCTTCGCCAGTTTCGGGATCCTTGGCATCGAGAAGATAGTAGAAGAAGTCCTTCTTGTATGTTTTTCCGAGGTTCACACGCTCATCTGCGCAAGCTCGGGAATGCCGAATGAATCTCCAGCGGTCGCGGGAGATCGTTGGGAAGAGGACCTTGGAAAGTTTCAAAGTGACTAATGGTAGGTAATTCCCATTCTATTCCCTAATTATTAGCAAAGGGCGATGGATGGGGGGGGGGCTCGTGGAGAACATACAATATAATGGTTGTGCGCCGCCTGACTGACTAAATTGGTAACAAACCTCGTCGGCTCCTCCGTCAACATGCCAAAGCTCTTCCCAAAGCAGAGATCGCCCATGACATCGAAAGTGAGCCAGCTGAATAGGTCACCCATGTCGACGCCGACACCACGCTTGAAGGCGTCGTTGACCTTGCCGGAGAATACATCGATGTTGTCCAGGACCAGATCCTCCGCGCTCTTCAACGCCGCTTCGGAGAAGGCGGCGGAGAGTACGCGACGCTTACGACCGTGCTCGGTTTTCGAGATGGCATTGTGGGTGTTGTGCACGCCTTTCACAGCCGGGAACGCAGCGTAGAACTGCGATTTTTGCAGAGATCGGCTGAGCGGTGTGTGGCCATATATCGCCTTTAGCGATGAGGCGGAATTGAAGGATATCAGATTCGGGGCGAAACGGATGACGGGGCCGTATTTCTCGTGGGCCTTGTAAAGTGCCAAGTGTCTGTCCCCGCGGTAGGCGTAGTAGACGGTGTACCTATCCACATCCTATCAACAAACAAATCCCGGAACCGGGGGAAGGGAGGAGGGGGAGCAGGGTACCAATCAGTAATCTTGGCCAAAAACGGTCCCGGAATCCTCGCCAGAGGGTGGAAGAACAGCCGGTAAAGCACCAGAGACGAGATATACACGGCAAAGGAAGTGGACAGTAATTTTATCAGGTTCAGAAGAGCCGCCATATCTACGGCGATGGCCATATGATCCAGGGACTGGATCGGGGTTTTGAAGATAGCCATAACTACCGCGTGCAAAGGCTTCTGGGCCACACTGTACTGGGAAGGCGGAGGAGGGGGTGGGTTTAAGTAGCAATACTGGGGAAGCGAAAGGGAAGAAAAAGGAAGAGGCGATATTCAAAAATACCCTCTCTCTCCAGCCCTCCAACCTTTTCTGTCAAGTCTACGGTATCTGCCCTTCCTTCCTTACATCACGAAGGCTGAGGAGCGAGGGGGAAGGAGGCGGACGCAGAATACGCGGGTAGCAGCGGCTTCTGGAACGCAACAGTCTGGATGGCATGGCACTGGGGGGGGGGGGCTCCAACAGAGAAGGACCGACCAACCCGGTAAAAGTGCAAAGAAGAAAAGAAGGCTCCCTGCTCTACTGCACCGATCCCCCCCCTCCTCCCCCCGTTCACAGTTCCTGTTGGCGCATCGGCTGGGGAGAAACAGGAAGGAAGCTCGCGTACAGTGCTACTGGCGTATGTAGATTAGGTCTATCGATCGTGCCACCCTGTGGTGGGGATATGATATGAGTACATGTACATGTTGGGGGTTACGGGTGTGATAACTCCATTCCATTTGGCCTTTATGATACGGTACCGGTACCCCCCCACCCGTAGGCTGCACTCGTACGTGTGGTGGCAGGGGCATTGGCCGCTTGCCCCTCCACCGATGGAAACCGAGAGGTGAGTGAGAAGTCGTGATGTCATTACCAGCACAGTGCAGGGGGGGAGCGATAGGCTACGGTCCCGCTATCACCTCCCACCGTCCACAAGGCCCAGAGCTTGGCTGTTTACGGTGCGGGGGAAGGGAGAAGCATGCCATGCATCATCACCACTCACGCAGTGCTCACCGGGCTTGTTATCGCATTCGGACCTCCGCTCCTGCGTTCCATCCTCCTGGCTGCTTCATCGATGTCAGCATCGAGGAATGATCCTGAGTCCGCTCGTACTTTGCGAGCCGTGTGCCCTCCACGGTATCTCGTGGCGTGGTGTCGCATCAAATCGATCCCCACGCTTCGGGTCCAACACCGTCTACCGTATCTTGCATCGAACTCTAGTGAACATTCCCGCGCTGGGCAAGCCGGCAAAACCAGCATCCCATGGGTTGGGGGGCGGAAAGCGGATAACGATGCCCGCCAAAGCAAGGGCATGAGGATAGAACGCCTGTGTTGACAGTGGTGGCTGCAATAGGAACTCTTGACGACCCAACATTCCAGCAGATACCCCCCCCCCCCCCCGTACTTGTCTGCGGGTCGGGAGGTTTACTTTACAGCAGTTTATGTCCCTGCTACCGGTATTCGGGGTCATGCTGCTGGCATTTCACCTTAGGAGTGTGCCACTTTTCATTCGAGTCGCTACGCTTTCAGAATTCCTCGTGGTTCTTTCGGATCGGTCAGTCCAATTCGTGGAGTTCACAAAAAAACAAAAACAATACAATCCCGGATTATCCGATTGGGGTTCCGCTGGGTGTATACATATACACAATCACCAAGGAGGAGTCTATTGGAAACACTGGCACAATAAAGTATGATATATTTTGCGGTGACTAAACTCCGGGGTTTGCTTTGTCTGGAGATTACCCATCCGAAACTTGGGCCGAGTAAGTTACTCGACATTTTCCAACTTCTCCGCTGATGGGCATTCTGCTCCCCTGTCTTTTTACATCCCACCAGTCTTCCGCGAAGGAAAAAAGAAAAGAAAAGAAAAAAAAGGAAAGGGAGAAAAAGAAAACACCTTCTCGTACAGGTACTGTATGAATAAAGAATCTAAAAAGAGCTCTGCAGGCACTCCCCGTACTCATTCTTCATTGCTTCCTTGACAATCGCCCCGCAGAGCCTAGCGTAGGGATTCGTCCGAACCGCCATTTCCCTAGCAATACCATTCCCGTAACGACCACCTTCGAAGAAGTCCCTAGAAGCCGCTCCCTCCATATCCTCGCTTCCGCCTTGCTTAAACATGGAGTAATAGATCGTTGCCCGTTGTGTATAAGCCTGGCTCAATATCTTTGCCTGCGAGGGGGAGAGCGGTGAGATGGGTGTCGAGGGGGAGGATAGTTTGATCGCCTCGTTTAGGTGGGGGAGGATCTCGGTTGCGGGCGCCGAGAGCATTCGGAGGACCTGTGCGAGATTGTTGTGTGCTGATGCGTATGTTGGGTGCGCGATTGTCAGCTCCTCCAGGAGCTTGCGGGATTCTGGTAGAGATGTGGGAGAGGATTCCGCGAGCGTGATTGCTTCCAGCTCCGTTTGCTTGAGGGTCTGAAGAAGGTGGGGGGGAGTGTGCGGATCACTTGGAAGCGAGGGGTCTATGCTGGGGGAAGCGGATGTTGGGGCAGACTCTGGGTCGAAGAGCTGTGTGAGAACGGTAGAGTCGTTGATTGTGAGTGCAGACATGGAGGTGTATCGGAGAGCGTATGGGAAACTGAGAAGACTGATGTGCGATGAGGGATTTCGTGGAAAGGGGCCGAGTGAGGTTATGAAGTAGGGTGATGGTCCAGGGTTTTTCTTTAGGGAGAGAGGGTGATAGTGCTTCGCAGGATAAGGGAAAGCTCCTGCTTTCATATTCCCATGTTATTCCAGGGTCACCATGCTTCCGTGGCTTCTTTGGGGGAAGGAGGGGCGTGGTGGGCCAGCGAGAAAAGCAGGGCCTTCCCTAGCCGTCAATCACTAACCGCATTCTTGCGTGTGACCGCGGCCACCCGTTCCTAAGCGAGTGAATCCGGAAGCTACCAGAATTGTATAATTCTCCGGCCTACCAAACCGCCATCCATTGGAACACTTACGAGATAGAAGGAAGAACCATGATGTGAGAGGAGGGGGGATAAGCTGCCGTGGAAAGTATCCGGTCTGCCCTGGGGTGGATTTTCTGTTTGTGGAAGAAGGTGGTGGTGGATATAAATCCTTTGATCCCACCGACTTTCCTTTCTTCTACGAATGAGAGTTAAAGCTCCATCATCATCTATCACGTCGTTTATCCTTGCCTGTTTGCAAAAATATCGGCAGGACTCTCTCTCTCTCTCTCTCCCTCTCTCTATATCTACCATCTACCTATCTACCTGCCCAACTATATACCTGCCCAACTATCCATCCTGAATAGAATTGATAATCAGGAACTAAAATAAACAACATAACATGGCTCCATCTGTCCTCTCTTCCTCACCACCGGGTCCGACTGTCCTGGCTTCCAATGGTCGGGCACTACCCCTAGACGGCGTGCAATCACCGGCCGCCGCTTTGGTGACGACGGGTTATAGAGGCTACGACCACGTACACTGGTATAGACAGCCCCGTCCTCTCACACGCCCCTAGGAATTTCGGATACTGAACGGGAAACAAAATACAGGTATGTCGGCAATGCCAAACAAGCAGCATCATACTACATCACCCGAATGGGCTTCCGACCCCTCGCCCACAGGGGCTTAGAAACCGGTTCTAGGGTCCTGGCTTCGCACGTAGTATCCAACGGGGATGTCACCTTCGTCCTCACATCACCCCTTCGCTCGCCTTCGACACCAGGACTTGCGGCTGCAGACGTAGCACTGCTGAAGGAGATCCACGAGCATCTCTCCGTGCACGGGGACGCGGTCAAGGATGTTGCCTTCGAAGTGGATGATGTCAGAGAGGTCTATGGGAGAGCTGTGGGGAACGGCGCTCGAGGGATCAAGGCTCCTGAGGTTTTGAGCGATGCGGACGGGGAGGTGATTGTTGCTACTGTGGAGACTTATGGGGATACCACGCACACACTGATTCAACGGGGAGGATATTCCGGCGCGTTCATGCCTGGGTTTCGACAAACTGTTTCTTGCCAGGATCCTCTGGACAATGTCTTGCCAGCAGTTCACTTGGATGCTATCGATCATTGCGTTGGTAACCAGGATTGGGATGAGATGGACGCCGCCTGCGACTAGTACGTTCCACCTCCCTTCTCTCTATTCCTTCTTAACAGCACCTAACAACCCAAGCAGCTATGAGAAAGCCCTCGGCTTCCACCGCTTCTGGTCAATCGACGACAAGAGTGTTTGCACGGAATACTCGGCGCTGAGATCCGTCGTCATGGCCTCTCCCAACGAAATCGTGAAAATGCCCATCAACGAGCCCGCCCACGGAAAACGCAAGAGTCAGATCGAGGAATACGTCGACTTCTACTCGGGGTCGGGCGTTCAACACATCGCTCTACGAACCTCAAACATCATCACCGCCGTGACGAATCTGAGGGCGCGCGGGGTTGAGTTCATCACGATTCCCGACTCGTATTACAAGCAGATGAATTTGCGGCTCAGCAAGAGCAGCGTGCGCGTCAAGGAGGATACGGAATCACTCAAGGAGTTGGGCATTCTCATCGACTTTGACGAGAACGGATACCTTTTGCAGATCTTCACTAAGCCCTTGATGGACCGGCCGACGGTGTTTATTGAGATTATTCAGAGATGTAATTTCGATGGGTTTGGTGCTGGGAATTTCAAGAGTCTTTTTGAGGCCATTGAAAGGGAACAGGCTGAGCGCGGCAATTTGTAAATACATTTTCACTCTTTTTTCCCTCTGCATTTCTCTCTCTCTCTGTTTTTTTGGGGGGAGGGGCTATCATACAAGGTTTTTTGGTGTAGAGATTTAGGCAGTATAAGTGGGTTTGCTCGGGTTCTTCGCCTTTTCTCTGTTGGGGATTTTTTTTCTTTTCTTCTGGGGCTTTCATTTCATATTGCGTATAATTGTGATGTGGATGATCTAGTATCATGTTGTGAATTACCGCAAATTTACTCGCACATGCTCCCCAATGGTGGCTTGAATCGCAACTGGGAAAGTCTATCGCCTGCCGGCGCAAAACACGAGGTGGCATTATTCTAGAAGCGGGTTGGGCTGTTGCACCCCCAGGCACCTGATGAGTACCCGCCAATATAGAACATGAAGACGGCACCAGCGCAGCATAGTACAGTATTTGTCCGGCGGCTATCATCTCCAACCATATTATACTTTCCAGCACCCAATTACCCCGACCCAGGCTATGCCATGGACTGATGATACATGCAGATTCCGGACCTTCCAAATATAGTATACGTATCCACTCTCACTACAGCGATTATTCGGAAAGATAGTCTATGACCGCTGCTCAGAGTCGTTGGATGAAGGCATAGCGATGCCAACTTAAAAGCCTTGTGCGGCAGTCCTTCCATGGAAGGTCCAGAACCTGCACGTCTCACCGGCCAATGGGATAATATCTACCCGAGTATCGTATTACACCTGTAAAGCACAGCACAGTGCTCTACTGTACGGTACAAGCACAAGTACAGTATCACCAGCCGCAAGTAGCACACTCTCCCCACCCTATTCCAAAGCACGCATCCCGCGCACCAATCGGCCGCCGCGTCGACGCCAGCGCCATAGTCAAAGATCTGAACTCGTGTCGCTCCGGGAATCCAAGTCACGTCACAGGTATGGTACGATGCGGGCTTAGCTCTTTTTTTTCTTCTAAAGGATTAATCGTCATGGTGGATCACTCGGGGATTTATCTAGACCTGGTTGTTTTGTATCATATCGTGTCATATACCCTACTCAGACCACCGTGTCTCCCCTCCCACCCGGCGTGCTGAGCGATGACGTATGGGGGGGGGGGTGCTGTGGGTTTGGGTGACGCGGGCGTGTCTTGGATCGCTTTTTTCGGCAGGGAGGAATCGCCAAGCACCGTGTGATGGGGGTACTGTACCGTACTATACTCGAGTACATACCGCACGGCACCGTATTAATTATATGATACTCGCACTGTGGGAGAAAGGGTAGAGTAGGAATGAAAGGTGCCGTGGGAATATTCCTCCGTGGCGGTTTAGCCTTTGCTATGGTTCCCCTTTTTGGCCGGGGTGCGTGGGGGGCCTTTGCGGTGGGTTGGCTGGCGGTGCTGAAAGTACTCCGTACATTTGTACGAGCACGGTGGACTTTTTGTTTCAGGCATCACACTGGATCTAGCTACCGTAGCATCGTTGGAAGTGTACTCGTATGAGTAAGTTCTCTTCCAGTGCGGGTATCCGTGAGCTTAGCTGGATATATGCTTGCACTTGAATGATAAAGCACTCACTGGTAGCGATAAGCATGGATGTCCTCGTGTGGGCGCCATATCGGCGGTCGGCGGGTTGCTATATATCATGCATGGGTACTATTCTGGTAATTTACTGTATGTACTGTACGAGTACTTGTACAGCGTACGGTACGAGCATGGTTCAGCCGCGAGTAACAGTCCGGTATCAACGTTGTGATCCAAATCCCTATCTGATCGGCGGTTACTTCTAGCTGTGCGCGCGAGTTCACCCAGAACGCCTGAGTAATAGTTGTGCTGTATCGTGTAGCTTCTAATTTTTTTTACTGGTTCCCCACCCCGAATACTGCACAGTGCTGTACCGGTATGATACCGATAGGGCTTCCTAACGCGGATGGTGTCTCAACTGGGCTGTGGAGTGGAGGGGGATTACAAAACGCTGATGGGCCCCACGGTACTGTAAAATGATACCTATTTGGCCGTTTCGAAACGAGCGGTCTCGTCCGTAATGTTTTGGCCCATTGGTATATCACCACACACACCCCTCTAGCTCTAGCTTCAATTACCTTTCTTGCTCATTCTACCGTGTCGTGCCAACTAGCTTATACAAGTTTACGACGGATCTAGCTTCTTACCTGCTTACCCACTCACTCACTCACTCACTCACCCACTCCATATCCGCTAGCCCGAGCACATTTTTCCACTGAGGTATCAATCGTGGTGTTGAGAGTTTGTTCTTTGTATCCGGTGGGTAGGACATTGTGTGGCTTAGATTAGAAATATTTACCTTTGGAACGACATACGGTATTCTACCGGTAAATCCCTCACTTTGACTTCCCCCCCACACACACAAGCCTAAAGAGCGAGGGGTACGGTACTGTACGAGTACTGTTGCTCGAGTATAGTGGAAAGAAAGTGGGAAACATGAACCCACTCGTCATTTCCTCCCGCTTTCGTCCCGCTATCGAGCCCTCGCTTGGCATGCGAATTTATCGATCGACACCTTAAGTTATCCGCGGGATGCATATTCTACCGTGTGTGGTTGCCAGACTGGCGGGGGAAGCTCGGGAGCGTGTTTGATGGTGTTTCGGGTACCTCCCCGACTCGCAACCGCCCTCTTGAGGAATAGTGAGTGCTGCGAGGCGGATGCAGAGCGATGCTTTAGATGGGCTGAGATGTATGCGAGGATCTGCGGTACTGGTGTGCTCCATTCCGGGCAGGATTTTTTTTTTTGCTCGGCGCTTGCTTGTGGGGTAGTGATAACACGGGGGAAGGCGAGACAGGTCACGATTTGTCACTCGGGGTCGTTGCTGGATCTAGGGTTTTTCCGGAGTGCGACGGACTGGAGTGGTCTCCCCCCACCTTCTCGGTCACGATAGTTGCTCTCGCTGCTCGTTTGGTCCTGGACCGCGGTACGCTTGACTTGTCTCGGGGATGTAAACGCACTCACTCCGGTGACCTGCTGTGGACGGTCAAGTTTGCTTTTCTCGTTCTCTCCGAATGCACACTATGGTGGTCATGCGTTGTGGTGGTGTGCTCTATCTAGCACGGCGAGTTCGTCTCTGACCTATTATGATCTTTGGAATAGCTGTCCGTTGGTTCGTGAGTTGTTTGCGCTATGTCCCGTGTTACCCTATTGGTTGTCTAGTTGTTGGGTTGGGTTCCATTTTTTGGAGGGGGGAGGGGGTATTCGGAGTTAAGCTCCCAGGGTGCCTTATCGTGTTGTGCACGATATAGAACCAGAAGAAGAAGGGGATAGGAAAGGGCTCAAGCCGAATGAAGGAAGTGAAAGACGGTCGGCCCCGCGGTAAAGTTACAATTTTTAATTCCTCCCAAACTTTCAGCAAAAGAAAGAAAAAGGGGAAAATGTACATTGGCCGCGCACTACTCGTGATCCTATTCCTGCCTTTCCCCTTATATGATCTCTATATATTAGAATCTCGTAGTATATTGTTCCAAAGAATAAGGATCAAAATTCCAAAATCTAAACTCCCTACTTGCTCAAATCATAACCCCCGCCTCCAGGGGGTTATGAAACTTCTGCCCCGGCCTCACTGAAACCGCCAAAGTACACCCTCCCATGCCCGCCCACAAGCACCCCATATCTATAACTAATTTATATTCCAACCTTCAGCCGTTCTCTATATCCTGGTGCAGTGACCCCCGCTAAGCCATTCAAGGAGTTTCTAGCGTACACAAGAGCGTATGTAGCTGCGTCGTCGAAAAGTACGTCAGGTTCCTTCCCGGGCGCATGATGTATACTAGTGGCGTTGCTAGTATGAAGTATGATATTATAAATATTGTTATGGGGAACATAATCGGCGGGAGTGGTATGTGGCCGTCGGTTATGTAGGTGTGGCTGGGGATCCGGGTTGGTGGGGGACCACTAGACAGGGGAGGAGGGAGAAACGGGGAGGTGGCTGGGGGATGGTAGGAACGGGGAGGAAGAGCCGCTGGGAGTGGGTGGGAAGGTAGATTATGAAGCGGGAGGTTATCGTCTTTTCGGGTGTCTTTTACGAGGGGGATTTCGCTGGGGAGATGGGTCTCTTTGCGGCTCATGGCTCTGTTTGAGAGCTTCATTAGATAGTTTTTCCATTTTAGTGGATGGGGTTCGAAATTTGGGTTTAGCTCTCTTGTGGAAAGTGTTTCCGGGGTTTTATTGAGTGTAGAGGCCGGCTTTGCAGGGCCCCATTGGAAGGAGAAGTCCTACGAGGATTGGACGGGGATTTTGCTCTTTTTGGCCAAGTCTAGGGCGATAGCGCTCAAGGAGTCTGAGAGAGATTGTTTAGTGATTGGTGGGGGCTCGGCCGATAGGATTTTCTCCTTCTACGAGATGCCTAGCCAGGCTTCGACTGTACGGGGCACCAGGGAGCACTTTTGACCGGCCATTTAGTCTTGGCTAAGCTTACCGGATGGTAGTTTTTTTGCCTTGCCCCCTAGCAAACTATGAAGTGGCCCTAGAACTTGGAGTCCTGGTGGGAACTCCAGCTTGTGAGTGGGCTCATGAAGTCTATTGAGTTCCACATCGCCGGGGACCACTCGTATCGGCTACCGGGAGGTGAGCGACCCGATACCCCAACGGTAAAGGCCCGGTTCAGAGCCACTGTCCCGGCGCATTCAGCTTCTAGCTCAGCGTGGTAGGAATTGTTCGAGATGTTGAGAGTAACGTCCTAATATTTGTTTTTGAGAAGTTTACACTTAACACCGGCTCTTGAGCCTCTTGCCTTGACTCTCCTCTTCACAACCTCTTGATTCTCGGCTGCACCGTCTTATATGACGGAAACTTGTGGGAGGGAGTAATGCTTATCAGAAGTACAGTGCGGCAATACATGATTCCCAGATAAGTCCCCCCAGAGAACATATAAGACCTCCGGTTCCGGGTGAACTTGCAATTCTGGGGAGGGAGTTTTTCCTAGCTTTTCTTGTGCTGGGAGGTAGATGTCCTGTGGCCATAGAATGGGCTATATCACATTATAGTACTGGTGGTCGACGGATTTGATCTCTCTGAGGGGCTCAAAGAGGCCACCGACTGCTACCGGGAGCGAGCTCACAGAAAGAATAGCAGAGGGCGGGGCCCCGGTCGCAGTTCTTTTGAGAGAGTGGCATACCAGAGTTCGAAGTGTGGGGGCTCTTCTTTCATAGCCGATTGCCAATGCGGATTTCGGAGACGCTCCACCAATTCGGTCTAGGTTCTTGGGGGTGTGATCATGGGGGCATATCTTCCGAGCAGAGTCTAGAGGGGCTCTATCGGGACGGCTACTAGGGTGGGCAGATATCCGAAGAGTAACCTAGGCCCAAAGGATGCTCCTCCAATACCGGTACGTGGAATATCTGTAACACGTGTTGACGGCCAAACCTAAAGGAGTTCTTACCTGTGTGCCTTCTGTCATATATAAAGAAAGAAAAGAATCCGGTCTAAAGGGCTGAGAAATCAAAACTGTTGCTCTAAAGGCGGTAGTAAGCTCCCATTCGGGCTCTCGTTTGACGGGTGTCATCTCCTCCTTCGAATCGGACGATGCCAAAAGGGGGAGTGGGTTTCTCCAGCACAGCGAAAGACTGCTCTCTTGTTTTATCGATTTGTGGCTAAGTGCCTTCGATCAGCCTTAAGTAATATCGATGGCCTCCTACAGCAGGACCCCCTCTGACGATATAGTCAGCATAGTGACTGTCAAAGAAATTGGGTTACCAACTAGACTAACTCTGCGCTTGCTAACATTAAAGCAGAGTGCCGCAGTCCATAAGACAATGAACACAAACGTAGCTTGTGGGAGTCTGCGCCAAACAATGAACACAAACGTAGCTTGTGGGAGTCTGCGCCAAACCATGTCCACAACAAAGGACTCTGTGCGAAATCCGGCGTGCGATGGGAATCTTCTTTCCGCTTTCATTGTACTCCACCCATTCCTCTACAGCGAAGACAAAGAGATGTCGGAAGGCTATCTCCTGTATGTTTCTAGGGACCTTGGAGGGTAAGGTAATGGGTAAGGTAGTGTTTGAGGATCTTCGGCTTCCACAGCAAAGCTTGTGAGAGAACTTGGGTTAAGATGGTGCACTCCTGTATTTTCCAAGATGAAATGGGTATTGTACCAGATTTCTTCCTTAACTGGTAATGGGTATCAGGAGGTTCGCTGGAAAATAGCCGGAGTCATCCATTTCTGGGGGAATATCCCAGATTGTTTTCTCCGGGGCGAGTCTTCCTGTTATGACAGCGTTCTCAAAAATTTCTCCATTGGGCTCGATGAATGGCTCTCTTTAGCCGGCTGTTGTCGAGTTGGAAATCGCCCCCATCTCTACTGATACCCTTATTCCCACTTGTTTCCAATAGGACGGGTTGCAGGGCGGGTCACTAACTCTATGAGGGCGTATGATATTCATCCCGCCTCCATACCCCTTTGTAATGATCCAGATACCTAAACGTTTGGTCCGCCCAGATTGCTAGGAATTTTTTTTTCACACCACACTCTGTACGGCTGGCAGGCTAGGAACCCAGGGAGTGTAATGAGTCTGGTTGTATAAGGGCTCTCGAGTGTTGAGTGCTGACTGTTGAAACGCATTGCTCTCCGGAGTGAAAGCCTTTCCCTCGCACCCCGGCAAAGCTTCCTCCCGCTATTTATAAAACTAGGAGTATATTTGCATCGAGATTTCGTTCCCGTTATATGCATGAGAAACCGATTATATTTAGTCTCGGTTGATTCCCACTCCACGACCCCTGCCTCCGGTCTAGATCAGCTTCATAACTTTGTAGTTTTAGCAACCCAGTGCTCCTGATCCTGAAATCTGCCCGTTTTGATGTTCTTTAAGTCTAAGGGGAGAGCGGCAAAATCAGCGGTTGTGAACCCCGGAAGTGCTGGCTTATCCCTCCGTATGTATTGGTAGGCAAGGTAGGCAAATCGGGCGGAAAAGGAAGATTCTTGTCGCTTGAGCGGCATTAACTTAACCTGAGTTGCCGCACCGGAAAAACCCCTGGCGGTGCTCGCTCTCTCAAGGAGATCACTCATAAGTCTTCCTCAATTTTTAGACTACTTCATAGATACCTGAGTTGAGGCTTGTTACTGATGGTGCGGCAATGAAGAAGATGAGTATAGAAATCATGGAGAATACGGACTAGAGTCTAGATTTTGCCAATGTGGGTGTATGCCGGTGAGGGATATTTCGAAAGATGCATTTTCCCTATCTTCGACTAGAAGAGACAATAGGAACGGCTAGGGAAAATCGATTCGGAGAGTTGAGCAAGAGAGAATTGGCTACGTTAGCACCTTCTGGCTACGACGGTTGAAAGAATGGCTCGAGGAGTTTGGTGTGTGGCCCATCTTCGTAGCTAGGATATTGACTAAAACCGCGAGCAAAGTTGGTAGGTAGTCAAAAAGCCGTAGGGCACCCAGCCGTAGTTTCCCCTGCTACCATCCAAAGGTCCAGGCATGTCCGTAACTGTTCCCCTCGCTTTGGAAATCTGCAAGAGTCCCTCTTCCACTCAAATAAAAACTCTATCGAGAACCACGAGTGTCACTGAAAAAAAAAGGGGCCCCTTCATTGTCCATGTCTTCAAATACTCGACAAGATTACCTTCATGTTCCTCGATTAGCTATGAGTTATACAGTATCTAGAGTGCCATGTAAGGGGCAGCCTTCATTAATTGAGGAAACCAGAGGCAGACTACTCAAGGTCCGGCCCTGCCCTGATTCCCGTGACTGGAGTCCTTACAAAGGGACTAGCTTCCTTGGAGGAACACCCAAGGGGATTCCATTTAATGACTCACCGACCCCCACTTCCTGAGTGTGCAGGAGTATCTTCCTCAGGTTAAATGGCATGGGAAGTATGTTACGTTTTGCCTGCAATCACAGTCCTCGAGTATGGGAATGCCGAGAGCAACTGCTTGTAAGGACTGGATATTATTTTTTGTTGGAGCCCTACCAAGTGGTGGCCCGAATACTGGTTTTAATGGGGGCAAAGTGGTACTTATTGTATTTGGGTACCGTACTGTAGTGGGTATCATCTGCATTACCGATGCTGGCCTGTCTGTTTCTGACTCTTTGGGGGATGCTATTTTGGAAAAAATATAGTATAGTATGAGCCAATATATCACTGTCATCCTCCGGATCCACTAGCGTCCTGGCGGCCCGGTTCATCGTCGCTGGGCTATCGTGGCCTTCAGCGGGCCCGGGTGGTTTCGGGAGTACAGGGGGGAGAAGGGGAGAGGGGAGAGAAAATTTTGTGGATTCGGGAAAGGTCACTTCCATGTGAATGGAGGTCTCCTATCGCCAGCTCTCCCTAGCTTACTTTGCCTCTTTTCCTCTGCCTCTTCCTTTATTTCTTCCGTCTTTCCCATCGAGCATCAGGGCAGATCCCCCTTCCTTTTTACTTCCATGAACTATAAGGGTTCATAACAGTTTCCCTAGTATCGCAATCACCCAGGAAGTAATACAATTATGTCTCCGCCATTGCAAATACAGTTACGTTCCCAACAGGACTATATAGTAGGGGCGGCGCGCATAGCAGGCTTGTAATCTCACCCATGATCCTTATCATTCAATTGGGGACCCTCACCTCCGAGCAACCAAGGTCAAGTGCATAGAGAAATTTCTGGCCAATAGTAGGAGCTCCAATTTCTTCCTTCACAGCTATGATTAGGTTTCGATTTTTAGCCCGTATGAGTCTGTGCTGCACAGAGGGGTTGGTTGCTTTCTTGGAGAGTAAAAAGCTCCATCTTCCATCATTGGCTCAACCTCGAGACTTAGAATGGAGCTACACGCCTTATACGACTATGGCACCGAAATTCATGAGTAGTTTGCTATTTTTACTAGGGTTGCATGACTTTAAGGACCATTATCTCACCCAGGGTCAAGATAGAATCAATCAAGGCAGCATAATGCACTCCGTAACTACTCAGCCTCTTTCCGCAAAAATTGTGTGATTTTTGTCAACCTTGTGCGAATGCTGATGGCTAAGGATTTACTCATGAGGTATTTCAATGAACACAGAAAATTGGCATTTCAATGTACCTTTTGTCCATCCTCAATGCTTCTAATATTCCTCCTCAGGGTCTATTGATAGAGCTTGATCACTTTTCAGGACAGATTCCATATGATTCTAAGAGATTTATTAAATTTCAATTCTTTATAAAAGCAATCAAGGTGAAATTTCTGGACGTAAAGTTGCTCGTTTTTGGTGTAAAGTGCCAACCTGCTCATGATTTTTGGTGCCCGGTCCGTACCAAACATTCCTGGAAACCACTGATCCCAGGAATTTGAGCACTCTATCCGGGCTAGGGATAAAACGCTATGAGAGAGATGTAAAAACAAGATGTGGAAATCCAACCCTCTAGTTTCTCCAGTTTAAATGCCTTAGCGGGAGTTTGGCCCGCCCGCCGCGGGTAGAAACCCAAACCCAAATATTTTTGCGAGAGACGAGATCGAATGATATTCACTAAAACTATCATGAGATCCGGAAGGCTGCTCTAGGATCGCGCCGGGTCGAAGGATGGCTCCGCTGTGATTGAACTATATTGTGATTGTGATTTTGTTTTGCCGCTGTTCGGTTGGTATTACAGGTATCAGTTTGGTAGAGCCCTTGGCTGAGGATCTAAATCCTGTCATGGCTTGAAATCACGGTTTACTTTTGGCGCTCCAATCGCTCGCTTGGGTTTGTTTTCGCCGCTGGTATATACCTGTGCTCACTTATCTAGCAAGAGGATGGGAGTGCGATCTCTCCGCACTTACTGCACTAGGACTCGAGCTCGCTTGGTATAGCCTACTCGCACTTTGCTGTTTGGGCAGCTAGGGTGTTGATCACAACACTTGAATACCGGCTCTCAGGGGATACCGATGGACTTGAGTGGTTATGGCATGAATCTCGCTGGTATTATTTGTCAACTTACGTAGCACTTAAATCCTGCGGATTCCCAGCGCAAGTCAAGACCCATTCCCCCCTTCTCTACATCACTTACGGTCTCTCACGACTTATGGAAAGAGAGGGTTCTTATTAGTATCTGGCATCAAGCTTAGCTCGGACCAGAAATCGTGCCGAAACTGCGACTGTAAACTTGAAACTGGTCTCACTGTTATATGTTGTTTTTGTTGTGTGTATACGGGCAGCATCCCTGATGGTATTGTGAAGATAGAGATGTGATGTTGAGGGTTTGTAGACCTAGGGATCAGAGGAGGTTGTATTCTCACCTTTTGTTTGCTCCTGTATTTAGACAGCTCACTCACACCTGCGAGAAACAACGGAGTTCCATCCACCTCACCATCACATCCGGTCAACACCCACTTCCCCCTAAATCTTTCTGGAAGAGAAATTGAACAACTAAGAACTAGGGTGAATGTCCCTCAGGGGGGTCTCAGTACCGCGGGTATAGTTTTTAGTTACATGCTATGCAGGCCTTACCCCGAAATGCGGGGGATTCCCAGCGAGTAATACAGTTCAATATGGATGGGTATTGACGAGCACTAAAGGCGACTACCACCTGGCAACCCTGTGAAGGGGGAAGATGAACACATAAAACCATTGGGTAGCTAGCAGGATAATAAGTTTTTTCTTTTGAAGAAATTGCTTTCTGGGCGCTCTCTATCCGGGTGACTCTTGGTATTTTCTCGAGCTTTATTTGACACTCTCGTGTGCCCCTCCTGTCAGAATGGGTCAAGCACCGTGGCAAATGCCCTTGATCTGAAGATCGGATTTCCCAGTACCAGTGCCGGTACGCCGAGTAACTGGGGTTTTCACGAGGGGAGGTCCCCGAGAACGGAAATCGATACTACCCCCAAGGATGATACTGAACAAGGGAGCAAGAGGCCAGCGATCAGGGGGTACGTCTGGGAAAAGTTCGCCGCCTATAGACGTGTAGTTCTTGGGCATAACTCATCGTTGGTCGCCGATTGTGTATGGAAAAACAACACCAAAATTATTGAAGGAAAGGAACGAACCCGAGTGATAGCACGTGCTTGCTGTGCTCGTAGGATACCACCAAAACGAATGACCCGCCAGCAATTCCCAGCCTGTAAAGTTTCAGAACGGTAGCCTATTGCAGGGCACTGGAGTGATTCCACCCTTGCAGGATGTCCCACTAGACACTTAACCAGCAGAAAGCCCAGAAGCCAGGAAGTCAGATTTCGGGGGAGA